ATTGAAGATGGGATGTTGCTGAACAACAAGAAAAATAATAGAATATTTTATTTTAACTTTAACGTAGTAGCACCTCCACCCGAACGCTATCAGACAATCGAAATTAGCATAAAAATGCGTTTTAATTATATTCTTATGAATATTAATATTTTCTATGGACCGGAATACATCTAAATTGATGATGGGATGCTGCCGAACAACACGAAAAATAATAGAATATTTTATTTTAACTTTAAAGTAGTAGCAGGTCCACCCGTACGCTATCAGACAATCGAAATTAGCATAAAAATGCGTTTTAATTAAATTCTTATGAATTATATTATTTTCCATGGACCGGAATCCACCCAAATTGTTGCTGGGATGTTGCTGAACAACACGAAAAATAATAGAATATTTTATTTTAACTTTAAAGTAGTAGCAGGTCCACCCGTACGCTATCAGACAATCGAAATTAGCATAAAAATGCGTTTTAATTAAATTCTTATGAATTATATTATTTTCCATGGACCGGAATCCACCCAAATTGTTGCTTGGATGTTGCTGAACAACACGAAAAATAGTAGAATATTTTATATTAACTTTAAAATAGTAGCACCTCCACCCGAACGCTATCAGACAATCGAAATTAGCATAAAAATGCGTTTTAATTAAATTCTTATCAATTCTATTATTTTCTATGGACCGGAATCCACCCAAATTGTTGCAGGGATGTTGCTGAACAACAAGAAAAATAATAGAATATTTTATTTTAACTTTAACGTAGTAGCACCTCCACCCGAACGCTATCAGACAATCGAAATTACCAAAAAAATGCGTTTTAATTAAATTCTTATCAATTCTATTATTTTCTATGGACCGGAATCCACCCAAATTGTTGCAGGGATGTTGCTGAACAACAAGAAAAATAATAGAATATTTTATTTTAACTTTAACGTAGTAGCACCTCCACCCGAACGCTATCAGACAATCGAAATTAGCATAAAAATGCGTTTTAATTAAATTCTTATCAATTCTATTATTTTCTATGGACCGGAATCCACCCAAATTGTTGCAGGGATGTTGCTGAACAACAAGAAAAATAATAGAATATTTTATTTTAACTTTAACGTAGTAGCACCTCCACCCGAACGCTATCAGACAATCGAAATTACCAAAAAAATGCGTTTTAATTAAATTCTTATCAATTCTATTATTTTCTATGGACCGGAATCCACTCAAATGGTTGCTGGGATGTTGCTGAACAACAAGAAAAATAATAGAATTATTTATTTAACATTAACGTAGTAGCACCTCCACCCGAACGCTATCAGACAATCGAAATTAGCATAAAATTGGGTTTTAATTAAATTCTTATCAATTCTATTATTTTCTATGGACCGGAATCCACCCAAATTGTTGCAGGGATGTTGCTGAACAACAAGAAAAATAATAGAATATTTTATTTTAACTTTAACGTAGTAGCACCTCCACCCGAACGCTATCAGACAATCGAAATTAGCATAAAAATGGGTTTTAATTAAATTCTTATCAATTCTATTTTTTTCTATGGACTGGAATCCATCGAAATTGAAGATGGGATGTTGCTGAACAACAAGAAAAATAATAGAATATTTTATTTTAAGTTTAAAGTAGTAGCACCTCCACCCGTACGCTATCAGACAATCGAAATTAGCATAGAAATGCGTTTTAATTAAATTCTTATGAATTCTATTATTTTCTATGGACCGGAATCCACCCAAATTGTTGCTGGGATGTTGCTGAACAACACGAAAAATAGTAGAATATTTTATATTAACTTTAAAATAGTAGCACCTCCACCCGAACGCTATCAGACAATCGAAATTAGCATAAAAATGCGTTTTAATTAAATTCTTATCAATTCTATTATTTTCTATGGACCGGAATCCACCCAAATTGTTGCAGGGATGTTGCTGAACAACAAGAAAAATAATAGAATATTTTATTTTAACTTTAACGTAGTAGCACCTCCACCCGAACGCTATCAGACAATCGAAATTAGCATAAAAATGGGTTTTAATTAAATTCTTATCAATTCTATTTTTTTCTATGGACTGGAATCCATCGAAATTGAAGATGGGATGTTGCTGAACAACAAGAAAAATAATAGAATATTTTATTTTAAGTTTAAAGTAGTAGCACCTCCACCCGTACGCTATCAGACAATCGAAATTAGCATAAAATTGCGTTTTAATTAAATTCTTATGAATTCTATTATTTTCTATGGACCGGAATACATCTAAATTGATGATGGGATGCTGCCGAACAACACGAAAAATAATAGAATATTTTATTTTAACTTTAAAGTAGTAGCAGGTCCACCCGTACGCTATCAGACAATCGAAATTAGCATAAAAATGCGTTTTAATTAAATTCTTATGAATTATATTATTTTCCATGGACCGGAATCCACCCAAATTGATGCTGGGATGTTGCTGAACAACACGAAAAATAATATAATATTTTATTTTAACTTTAAAGTAGTAGCACCTCCACCCGAACGCTATCAGACAATCGAAATTAGCATAAAAATGCGTTTTAATTAAATTCTTATCAATTCAATTATTTTCTATGCACCGGAATCCACTCAAATGGTTGCTGGGATGTTGCTGAACAACAAGAAAAATAATAGAATTATTTATTTTAACATTAACGTAGTAGCACCTTCACCCGAACGCTATCAGACAATCGAAATTAGCATAAAAATGCGTTTTAATTAAATTCTTATCAATTCTATTATTTTCTATGGACCGGAATCCACTCAAATGGTTGCTGGGATGTTGCTGAACAACAAGAAAAATAATAGAATATTTTATTTTAACTTTAACGTAGTAGCACCTCCACCCGAACGCTATCAGACAATCGAAATTAGCATAAAAATGCGTTTTAATTAAATTCTTATCAATTCTATTATTTTCTATGGACCGGAATCCACTCAAATGGTTGCTGGGATGTTGCTGAACAACAAGAAAAATAATAAAATATTTTATTTTAACTTTAACGTAGTAGCACCTCCACCCGAACGCTATCAGACAATCGAAATTAGCATAAAAATGGGTTTTAATTAAATTCTTATCAATTCTATTTTTTTCTATGGACTGGAATCCATCGAAATTGAAGATGGGATGTTGCTGAACAACAAGAAAAATAATAGAATATTTTATTTTAACTTTAACGTAGTAGCACCTCCACCCGAACGCTATCAGACAATCGAAATTACCAAAAAAATGCGTTTTAATTAAATTCTTATCAATTCTATTATTTTCTATGGACCGGAATCCACTCAAATGGTTGCTGGGATGTTGCTGAACAACAAGAAAAATAATAGAATTATTTATTTTAACATTAACGTAGTAGCACCTTCACCCGAACGCTATCAGACAATCGAAATTAGCATAAAAATGCGTTTTAATTAAATTCTTATAAATTCTATTATTTTCTACGGACCGGAATCCATCGAAATGGAAGATGGGATGTTGCTGAACAACAAGAAAAATAATAGAATATTTTATTTTAACTTTAACGTAGTAGCACCTCCACCCGAACGCTATCAGACAATCGAAATTAGCATAAAAATGGGTTTTAATTAAATTCTTATCAATTCTATTTTTTTCTATGGACTGGAATCCATCGAAATTGAAGATGGGATGTTGCTGAACAACAAGAAAAATAATAGAATATTTTATTTTAACTTTAACGTAGTAGCACCTCCACCCGAACGCTATCAGACAATCGAAATTAGCATAAAAATGCGTTTTATTTATATTCTTATGAATATTAATATTTTCTATGAACCGGAATACATCTAAATTGATGATGAGATGCTGCTGAATAACATAAAAAATAATAGAATATTTTATATTAACTTTAAAATAGTAGCACCTCCACCCGAACGCTATCAGACAATCGAAATTAGCATAAAAATGGGTTTTAATTAAATTCTTATGAATTCTAAAATTTTCTATGGACCGGAATCCACCTAAATGGTTGCTGGGATGTTGCTGAACAACATTTCGACGAATTTTACCAAAAATTTTTTATGAATTATTATATTTTTTGAGGGTTTTGTTATGACAATATTTTTGAATATGAAATATATTTTCTGAAAATATTTTCTCGTTGTGGACTTTAATTTTTGTTAATTTGAGGTCCCTGAATTTAGCGTCGAATTACTAATTAAAAACCCTAAATGACATTTTTTGGAGAATGAAGCTAAGCGTCGACGCTAATTTCAGAGACATACTTTTTTGCTATTTATCTATGTACTTTTAACTGATTCAATTGTAGAGAATTTCTGATTGCTCTCTTAACACTCTCCGAGATAATTTTTTTTTTTTGCTATTTTTTACGATTGAGCAGACATTTTTTTGCATATTTGTGGAGAAAAGTGTGATTAAGTGATATAAAGTGTCGGTGCAAAAAAAAGAAGAAGGAAAAGAAGAGAAAGGGAGAGGAAGGCATTGCGGAAGAAAAGGACGCTCACACATGAAAGTACACCTGACACATCACGAATGTGAAGGTCGCGTTCCAAAAGAGCTCAGAATGATGATCTCAGAATCAGAAAGGCTAAAAAAGAATTCTTCCAAAAAAGAAAGAAATGGAAAAAAAAGTTTGTGGATAAGTAAAAAGAAGAGTTTGGTAAAAAGAGGGAAGGAGGATGAAAATCCACCTCTCCAACATCGGTAGTATTAAAAAAAAAAATACTGAATGATCATAATAAGGTGTAATATGCAGGAGGGTAAGGTCTTTTAGAAACTGGCACGTTGGCCGGCCGTGGGCAGGTCGTTATCTAGGTCGTCGTCTAACTGTTCTGCGTACCGTTCCTTTGCTTCAGTACCGTCCATTTACCCGATATATCCACCTCCAACATCGTCTTCTTCTTCTTCTCAGCCGTTTCGCCTCTTAGGGTGGGAGAATAACGCGCGACCATCGCCCTCTTCGACCTGATGAAAAGCTTCTTCAAAATCATCATCATCAGTTGATGAACGAAGCTCGACTGCATGTGCCGCGAGCAACCAGTTAGTGACAAGCAATTTTTTTTAACAATCTTTTTGGATTAACTGTTTTTTATCAATAAAAAATAATCGTGTGAGATTAAAATACAAATATTTAGGAAAGGATCCATGGCTCCAGAGTAAGAGATTTCTGCCCTCAGCTCTCAACAGCTGACTTAATACACGAGGGCCACGCAAGCCTTCCTCTTTCAAGGTCGGGTCAAAAATTTTTAAAAACTTTGTCCTGGATCACTCGAGGATTTATCATTTCTGTGCGGGGATCGTCCAGGTAATTATTTATTCACTATTTGTTTATTTAACCCCTTTTTTTTATTTATTTAGTCACTTTTAGTCTATTTAGTCACTTCTGGTCTATTTAGTCACTATTTTGGTTATTTACTCTTAAGACACGGAAAATTTGATTTTATTTACGGAAAAAAGCGAGAACTGTTGTTCAACTTTTACTATTTTCGTCGTATAAAACCTGCGTTAACTGTTTGGAATTTTTACGCAAGCAACTTTTGTTATTTTCCGATTGGTACAAATTTTACTGCACCAGAACTTAATTTTTACTGATTTTAATCAAATTTCAACATCCCTGCACTGAAAACAAAAATTATTTGATTCAAATAACCGATTAATTGCGACTATTATCAATTAAATATTTAATTGAATCAAATAATATTTATTAGAGTCAATTAAATGGCTCATTTCATATTTGCTTCAAATACTGAAATTATTGGTTTCAAATACCATTTAATTGACTCCAATAAATATTATTTGATTCAAGTAAATATTTAATGGATAACAGTCAATTAATCGGTTATTTGAATCAAATAAATTTTTTTTTCAGTGGGAAGTTAGCGTCGACAATTAGCGTTGAAAACTAATATTTAGCGTTTTTGGAGATTAAAATATTGCTACTTTTCATTATTTCATTCATTTTCATCACTAAAAACACCCAAAAGAATTAATTTTGCGACGTTCACGTTTAACAACGAAAATAGCAAAAGTTACATCAAATCCTTGAAGTTTGCGTCGACGCTTAGCGTGAAAATCTCTTCTTCAAAGTTTTAGGCAATAAAAATGTCACTGTTTTTATTCATTTAGAGTGTGAAAATTTTTCAGAACACATTCTTAAACGAATCTTTTGAAAAATGGTTTAATTTTTGTTCTTTTGTATAAAAATGAATATTTTTACCTTCAGCGTCGACGCTAATTTCATGGACCTGTTTTTTCCTGTATTAAATAGAGGTTTTTCTACTAACGTCCAAATTCCGATTAATTTTTCTAAAAAAAATTGCTGTAGTCCGATTTCCGATTAATCGATTTTTAAATCGAATGAATAGATTTCTAAAAATATTAGCAGTTTTTAGAAATGATTTCTTTTTAGTTTATTTAAATTAGTTTACTTAAAATAAACTAACTTTACTTCACAGTTTTTTTGTCTCAATTTGATATCTGCAGGAAAACTGTGGTTTAGATGAAAGTGACAAGTTTATAAAATTTATAATTAAATAAGTAAATTTTTTTTTTTCTCTAATGTCAAAATTGAAAGATACAAACAAGATTTTTTCTGAGAATAAATATTTTTTTTGCCATGAAATGAATTTTTATAATTTAAATCGAATTAAAACATTAGATTAAATGAAGTAAGAAAATTAAGTTATTTTAAGTAAAAGTTGTATAATCATTTAAACGAGTTGTGGTAAAATTTTTGAAAATTTCTAAATACTAATTTCCTGGATTAGAGAAAAATGTACGAGTATCAAAAAGTAATTGCATTTCTTTGTTAAAAAAACCAGTTTTTATTTTCTGTTCACTGACAACAATCAATAAGAGTGTTCAATCGTCAACAAAGAAAACGAGTTTAGTTTCAAGTTTTCTAACTGTTAAGGGTATGTACAGCAAAGATGATGACGATTATCACTCTCTTGGTGATTTTGCTTCTGGTGTAACAAACTTTTTCCCTCTTTTCGTTTGAAGAAGGAATTTTTTAAATTCTTCTTTAACTTGTTTAAATTTTTCTTTTAACTTGTTTAAATTTTTCTTTTGACTTGTTTAAATTTTTCTTTTAACTTCTTTAAATTTTTTTCTAACTTCTTTAAATTTTTTTCTAATTTTTCTGTAAGAAAAATAATTATAAAAACCTTTTTTTAAAAGAATTATTTGTTTAATTCGTTAATTGATTATCTAAATTATGAATTCTAGAAATTTTTTTAATTATGAGTGAGTAATCTTAAAATCTTAGAATTTACTATTTTCTTTCACCAACTTATTAGTCACCTTCACCTTCGTGAAATACGCAAGGTCTTTGAACTCCACATTTCTATTCGTATTCTTACGTTTTATTTTGTTGTAGAATTTTTGAAAAATTATTTTTTGGGTCAAAATTGGGACAGTAATAAAAACAGTGACAAAAATAATTAAGAAACAAGAGAGAAAAATTGTGTTTATTAAATATTTACTAATTTACCTGTTATTTAATCTTTATCCAAAGTAATTAATAATCGTAATTTACATAATTGCTAATTACCCCGATTAAGATCTGATTATTCTGATTAATATAAAGAAATTCAGCGGAGATTCTAATTCAGAAAACATTTAATCAATTTTTCTTTTGAGAAATTATCCGGAATTTGGACGTTATTTGAACGAAAAAGGAAATAAAAATTATCTTTACGAAATATTTATCGAAATTTACATAATTGGGAGGAAAGAAATGATTTTTTACTTAGGACTTTATTTTTTTTATGTAAAAATAAATTTTGATGATTTATTTTTTGTTTCATTATTTCCTATTGTTAATTTGATTTTTATGAAATGTGTACAAAAATTCGCGTATGGTGAATGATTAATTTTCTATTTGGGACAAATTTTTCGTTAGAATAACAGGCAGATTTACATTCCTGAATGTCAGGCCAAATACAATATTTTCGAAGGTAGGGCAAAAAGTAGGTCATACCAAAACTATCATGTGACACATATTGGTTTCAAATTACGCAGAAAGATGAATGATCTTGATATAACAATTATATTAACATTTGACGAGAAATTATAGAAACAAATAATTTAAATTTTATCTATTACAACTTTAAGTACTCTCACTTTTTGGAAATTTATTTTTAACCATCTTTTAAGTCTTTAAAAAACTGAAATTATATTTTCTCAAAAGTAAATAATCACTGAAGCTTGCTATTATTATGTTAAATTGTTGAGATAAAAATTGGGAAATAAATGAATAAATTTGATTTAATTAGCATCAGCGAATACTCCAACTGATGTTATGATTATTAAATAGTAACGGATGTTAAACCGTTTATTAATGATATAGATTCTTGACGAGGTCATTAAACGTACGGTACAATAATACCAAGATGTTTTTTGCCATGATTAATTTCCATTTTTGCTATTATTATTAATAGTTTAAATTTTTATTCCTCATATACAAGAGATAACTATACTTTTTGCATTAGGTTCAAATTTTTAAGAGTTTTAATATGAAAAAACAGAGTATTTAATTTGAATAGTGATATATTTCTTGATTTTCAAATGATGAATACTAATGCTAATTGTTAATAATTACTAATATTAATTGTTAATAATTACTATTACTAAATTAATACACGAACAAAAGAAATGCGACTAGAGTGCTTAGACACACGTTCTAACATCTTTGGAATCAAGAAATGACAAAACCCTGTAGAATGCGAGTAGCTTTGAAAAGAGAGAGGACCAAGAAACGTGTTGTTTAGAAGCGGAGAATCTTCCAAGTATAGAAAGATACACTGTTCCGGAATTAATTTAAAAGACAATTTTTGTTTCACTATACGTTTCTTTGTAATTACATAATTGTACTTTTATTTATTTTTATTATCAGAAAACGGGAAATAAAATTATGGTAAAATATTGTACGTTTATGAATTTTGATATACTATTCACAATTCGGAAAATTTAATTTATTGTAACAGTTTTTTTTAGCTTGAATCGAAAGTTGGTTTTTTAAATCTAGTATTCAAATCTGGTTCATCAAGTTATTGAGTTTATTATTACTTCTTTTATGTAGACTTTGGTAGAATGTATAAATTTCGAAGAAAGTAGACTTTCCTTGAAAAGATTTTTATATTTACGCATATGTATATGAAATTTAGAAAAAAAGAAGGAAATATCTTCTATTGACGTCAATAGAAGAGAAATTTCTATTTGACCCGAAGGTGCGATTTGAAGACAATTCTCAGTATTCTGACAAAATATGATGCAAACAAATGTTGACGAGGAGGCTACTCAACTCTTTAATGGTCAGAGTATTTTTTATTTTTCTTTGTTGGAATGTGTGTCACGAAACGACAGTTTACGAACTTCCTTTCATTCATCCTGATTCTTCACTAACAGGAATTGCAGGATGCGTATTTATGTATTATCAGTCATTGGAAAATGTGTACTTGCCAATTCAGGACAAATCAATTTCATTCATCTTTCAATATTTTCTTTTACGTTAACAAAAGTAGTGATGATTCAGTTAAATTTTTTCTTTTGCGAAAAAACGAAAGAAAGACTTATTTTTTTGTATTGAATATTTGAAGAATAATTTTGATGGGGAATTTACAAAAGATAATTCTAGCTTTCTCTTCACTTTTTTAGTTTTTGTTTCATTACATCCATTGTGTTTAGCGAAATATTTTTCTTAGTATCAGATACTAATTAAGCATGTTTTGTAAAATGTTTCACTCTTTATGCATCTCATGACTTTGCGAACCTCGATATGCATTCTTATGTTTTATTCTTATTCGACGCGAAAGCGGTTACACTGGTGACCCACTGTTGTATATATATACATCGCGTGTTTCATGACGTAATGCTTTTCGATAACGGTATCTTCTAATATACTTTTCGGCACTTTCATTTCCATTAAATTGACTTATTTTTTGAAAATATTTCATAAAGATAATTTTTTCTTACAAATTTCTCTATTTTACTGGTTCTTGACAAAATTTTTTCAAAGAGGTACAAATATGAAATTGTAGACTTTCTAACAGTTTCATTATAGTTTTTCAATTCTTATTTTTCTTTCAGTTTTTTAAGGACGAATCATGGCACCATTATTATGGACGTGGTTATTTTTCATAATGACCACAGCTTATGGATCAGAGCCATTTGTTGTCGGAGGTCAAGCAGATAATACGAGAGTTGAACAAGCTTCAGAAGAATCATCAGCAATTTTCTCCAGGCGAGCCGATTTTGACGACCTAGACCTCGACCTGGACCTCACTGCCGAAGAAAGTGCAAATGTACCGCATACGGATGATCAACCTGAAGCTCGGTACAGAAATCCTTTCCCCTATGCTTTTAATGGGGGTAAACCTTTCTCCTTGTTGAAAGATCCGATTACAGGACAGATTGACTTTGAAAAAGCACCGCCTTTAAAGGCCGTCAATTTCACAGATCAATATGAAGATATTGACGACACTAATGATGAGGAAGCTGGGAAGCATGTCGAAGCTTATTTAAATTCAAAGACGATAAAAGGAAAGAATGGAATTGCAATCGGACCTAATGAAATTAATCCCTTTTCTCCAAGTTTTCATGATTTTTTAAACCTGCCGGTTCAATATTCGTCTGATAAATACGGAAGGGACAAATATCCTTTGATTTCCAGTTCCTATGCGAACACGAAAGTTCAGAGTGGATCGAATCTTTATAGTACGTACAATCACAGACCGTATCATGAATCTACAACTAGGGGTCCAGTTGTTAATATCGTTACTCGAAGGGCTTATACCACCCAATCGACGACTACGACAACTGAACCGACAACAACTAGTACAACTACCACGACGACGACGACAACAACTACAACAGAAAGACCTAAGACAACAACAACTGAGAAAGTTACTACAACTACCAAAGGCACTACTTCCCCTGAACCTCCGGTCACCACTTGGAAACCTTTCACGAAACCCACGAGTCGGTACGAAGAATACGATGACATTCTTCCTATCGAGAAACTTCAAACTCCGAAATATGATAATCGACGTGGACCCAATGATGTATCTTCACATTCCACAAAACCACCGGCAATTGTCGACGAATACGTTTATGAAGATTACGAAGACGAAATTCATGAGGATCAAAGATACTCGATAGTCACTTCCTCTCCGAAGGAGGAAGCCACATCACCAGTTTCAACAACCGTTAGAAGCGAATATCGCCCTAGTTCTTTTACTCCTTCTACAACGGAACAAACTACACCAATTCCTGAAATTACTACCGAAATTACAAAAGTTAAGGAAAAACCCCAACACCTAGTAACGTCAATGCCCCTAGACAACGAAAGCATGAAAGATTCTCCATACGAAAATATTGTTGAGGGCCACAGACCAGATTTCACCAATACAGTAATTTCCGGACCGGGACATGTCCATTTTCCAAATAGTCATTCGGGAAGACCGATTTCAATGTTACCGGAAAGTACCAGTAATATTGTTATTCCTCCCGATCAAGATACTGTATCTTTCGTTCTCGGCAATAGACAGAACGTAGATGGCAGTTATTACAGTCATGGTTCTGCCGGCGAAAATACTTACAGTGGAGTTATTGGCGAAGGTTCCTTCCGTCCCCTAATTTCATCAGGTCAACATTCCCACGGAGGTTCTCCAGTCACAATCGGTCATCCGTCCATATCTGTTGTAGATCACGCTTCTCCAAGTCTAGAATCTGATCAACAACAATGGTACAAACCTAGACCGAATTTCGAACCTAGACCACCAATTTCAGGTTCTATTTTCAATTTCCCAATGAGCAGTTCTTTAAATTCTAATTCACAATTAAGTGATCCGATGTCTAATGGACCATTGTCGAACACACCAGGCTCTTTGTCTCATTCTTCAGTACCGGGTCCGTTAATTCCAAACGGTCCATTATCTTATTCACCGTCGTCAAATGGTCCTCATTTAATTCCAAATGCACCAATAACCAGTTCCTTGATTCCAAATTCTCCGGTTTCGTTTCCAAATTCTCCAACTGTTAATTCTAGTCATGCGGGTTCGGCAATTACGAACGAAGTGGATTCCAAACCAAGACCAGGAATTTTGATGAATGAAGGAGTGGTTCAACAGCATTTCGTAACTGATGATAAGGAGGTGGATTACAAGAAAGGGTATATTGTATTCCCGGGACCGAGTAGAAATCAAGAGGTACAAAGACCTGTCGAGGAACATGTGGTAATAATTAATGAAGCTGACGGCACTGTTCAAGAATTTACGACTACTTCGACAACAATGGTTCCACTAGATTCGGCAACAAAAAATGAAAATGGACCACCATTGCCCTCGGAGGATTTAACACCACCTATGGAGAGACCTAGACCACAACCACAAAATCAACGACCTCCTTATTATTTCCATTATCAACAACTCCCAACAACAAGACCCGAATTTTCAAGACCATCCAGATTACCCATTCGACAGAAACCACCAATGGACCAATTTAAAAGAAGACCAGTCACTCCTGATACGAAACTTCCTAATATTTTGCCTCAATTTCGACCAAATGCAAAAACATCTCATGGACATAGGGGTTCGGAAACGATAGGAACACTTCCGGCACAGGTTTATCATAATCGACCTAGACCTCCAGCTTCCTATTCTAGGAGGCCATCACCTCCACCATCTTTTTTGCAGAGGTTGAGTCCTCCTCCCCCTTCACATCCGGTTCATCATACTCATAGAATTAATCAATCGAAAGGAGATGCTGCTATCCAGAGTTCTGATCTAGTGGTCAAGAGAATACATCAAACTCAAGGAAATTCTCAAGGAAATCCTCAAGGAAATCTTCAAGGAAATGTTCAAGGAAATCTTCAAGGAAATCTACCAATTAGGGAAATTGATAGAAAAACAAATCAATTTCCAGTCGCATTAGGTAGTTTTATAGATCTTCCAGGTATTAAGACATTAAAGTATTAAGAAAAGCTTAATGGTTTCAGGGAATTACTCCCTGATTTCTCTGACCTGTGGCAGTCCTGGCTTTAATGTCTTAGGGCCAGTTTCTATCTTAATGCCTAAATTTTGCAAATTTTTCATTCTTTCTATTTGTTCTAGGTCAGAAACAAAATGCCCGTCAGGAAGATGATTCGAGTGATCGATATCCGTCGGAACCACCACAAATACCACCAAGACCGGTACTTTTCCCAAGACACAGAACCGATGACAATGTTCCCAGAGTCGCAACACTGCAAATGATCCAACAACGTGGGAATATCGACGAAAATGTTAGATCGAATCTTCCTCCTCCTTTAAGGGGCAACAGCAGCGAAGACGATGCGAATCGAAGAAATGACGATTTCCGCGATTCGGAGCAATCTAATGTTGAACCTCCGGTCTATGTTGTTTATCCAGTAAATACGGCAGTGAATATTCGTCAGGACGATTCTAGAGAGAAAGATGAAAGTGTCGTGGTCGGTACTCACGGTCCACAACGACCATTACCACCGGATACACTTCTTCAGGACAAGGATGTCGATCAGAATTCTGAAAGCCTTCCCGCGAAGCATTATTCGAATCCAACGCCTATTTTCGCTTCTGATTTTCCTTATCCATTAGAAAGACCAGATCCGGCAGTTCTGTCTGGACCGGTTCACGAGACACCACTTTTGGTTCCAAGCGATCAGTTAAATGAAGAAGATGAGAATATTGAAGATAGGGACACAAGTGTGAATATTATTCCCTATCTGCAGGATTACGTACCATTCGCAGCGAAAAAGAGTAACGCAATATCAACAACACTTCAACGTCTCCCAATTTTAAATTCGAACCAACAATCATCAACTCCAATCGCCTATGTTTTCACACCAACCGCACAGCCTTTAATTCATCGCTCCGACATTGGACCCATTGATGAACTTCCAAAATTCGATCGCGGTGGTGAGAAACCAATTCTTCTTCCCTCTCAACAAGCGTCGAGTTCCTCGAGTTCGGCACCATCGCCACAAAGTTTCATGGCACCATTCATAGCCAGTGCAAATGCCGAAGCACCAGCGAAAAATGGTTGGAACGTCGTTGTAGTGGAATCGAACGATCGCAGTTCAACGGTTGATGATAATAACAAAGACACTCTAACCGCCGAAGACACACAAACCGAACGAAGTGAATTCGATCCTGATAATTTCAAACCACAACTTTTTGGTGGTTTTAAGCCAATCTACGAATTCCCCACCGAAGATGAAGAACGACAAGTATCACGTGATCGGGAAATAAAAGACATGCCGAGAAGTTTGTCTTAGATTAAAAAAAAACCGAATATAGTTTAAAATTTAAATCGAATAGTGAAAATCAGACATGAAAAATGTCCACAATTCTTAGTCTCTTCTATGACGTTCGTTGTTGGACGTAATAAGACTTTATTTCTAATCGAAAGAGTTGGCACGTCATAAAGAATTTTTCCAATACGCTTTTTTGTTGGAACTGATCACGAATCGATCTGATAATTTTACTCTTAGATACTCTAGGAACTTTAGGATTTAAGTATTTTTATTTATTTATTTATTTTTTTGACAATGCGACAGTGACAGAATATCTGCCATTTATTTCTGTACAGTGTTTTACACTATATTTTTAATTTTCGATTTGCAATTATTATTATTATTTATATTTATTTATTTCCCTTTATTATTTATATATAGGAAAATATTTATAAGCGGATCGGAAAACAGACTGAAACGATCTCGTGAAAGAATTTCAAACTACACGCTGACTATAATTATATTATATTACTTAAAAGTTTAAAACTTTCGAGATCCGTTATAGATTTTAAGAAAATGATAAAATATTATTAAGTGTAAAATATTATAGAAAATATATTTTCCAAATTGAATTGATTTTCTTGTTTTTCACCCTCTGTTGATGTTAACTTATCTCTATTATCTCTTTTTATTGTTTGATGATAATGATAATTCATTGAATGAATGATCCGGGAAAATGAATGAATTATGATTTAATTATGAAATTTAATGAATTTCCAGGAATACTAGGAAAACCTAGAAATGTCAGTGAATTTTATAAATCTTAAAAAAACCTGGAAAAGTAAGGGAATTTTGATCGAAATCCTGGAAAATTATTGTTTTCTAAAGTTATTGTGCTTATTCTTGAAATCTAGTTTTTCTTAAATTTTGTAAAATTTCAATTTTGAATGAATTAATTAAATAATACAAATTTCACAGGAATTCTATTATTTACAAATTCTTTATAAATTTCTTCTGAAAATTTCAATTATTTTCAAAAATAATCAAATTTTTTAAAGAGATTCAATTATTTTCGTGAATAATAAAAAAACTTTATAGGTTTTGAATTATTTTCATAAATAATAAAACTCATCGCAGAATTTTAATTATTTTTAATACAATTTTAATGGAATTTCTCAAAAAATGTAATTATTCTTAAAAATTTTATTAAAATTCATCAAAAAAATTTTCGCAGGAATTCAATTCTTTTCAAAAAATTTAATCAGATTCTTGACAAGAATTCAATTATCCCCATAAATAACAAAATTCTTCACAAAAATTCATTTATTTTCATAAATAATAAAACTCATTACAGAATTTCAATTATTTTTAATGTAATTTTAATGGAATTTCTCGAAAAATGTAATTATTCTTAAAAAATTTATTAAAATTCTTTAAAGAAATTAAATTATTTAAAAATTTTTTTTGATAAAAATCTTTATGAGAATTCAATTTTAAGAAACATTCAATTATTTAATAACAAAATTTTTCGCAGGATTTCAATTCTTTTCAAAAAATTTAATCAGATCCTTGACAGGAATTCAATTATCCTCATAAATAACAAAATTCTTCACAAAAAGTCAATTATTTAAAAAAAATTCTTCATAAATCCATAATTCAATTATTTGCATAAATAATAAAATTCTTCCCAAGAATTCAATTATTTTCATAAATAATAAATCTTCATTGCACAATTTCAATTATTTCTAGTTCAATTTTAATTCAATTTCTCAAAAAATGTAATTATTCTTAAAAATTTTATTTAAATTCATCAAAGAAATTCAATTTCTTGGTAGAATTAAGTTATTTTCAAAAATTTTAATGAAATTCTTTTTAACAATTTAATTTTTTTTCAAAATAATTTTAATAAAATTCTACGAAGAAATTTAATTAATTACAATAATCTATCAAAATTCAATTATTTTCAATATCTACTATTTCAATAAAATTTCACAAAAAAAATTCATTTTTTTAAAAAGAATGTATTAAAATTCGTCTCAAGAATTCAATTATTTTCAAAAGTAATTTATTTGCATTTTATTTGTATTTAAATAATTGAATTCTCGTAGAATTTTCTAATAAAAATTGAATTAAATGTGAATTTTAGTTAAAATTGTAGATAATAATTGAATATTAAACTCTAAATTTGAATTAGTAAAAATGTTTTTCAATTTGAATTAGTGACTGACTTTTTGCTTTTGAATTAGCAGATTTTACTAATAAATAGTCGTTTCTACTAATTTAATAGTAACATTTACTAATTCAAAATCAAAAAGTCAGTCAGTAATTCCAATTACTAAACATTTTTACTAATTCAAATTTATAGAGAAAGTATTATAGCTTGAATTTTTAGAAATAATTGAATTTTGAAAAGCTTTCAAATTATAATCTTTGAATGTTTGAATTTTTCATACTTTTAACTAAAAATTGTGTAGATTCAATTTTTTTGAAAAAATTTAATTGAATTTTTTCTAAGTTATTTGAAGTTTTTATTTTCTAATATAGAATTGAAGAATTTTCGAATAATGGAAAAAATTTCGTAAAATTGAATTGTAAACAAAAGAATCTAAAAATTCTCAAAGAACTTTTTCAAAAATTATTAAAAATAATTAATTTAAAGAAGAATTTTAGTTAAAAATTCTGGAAAAATGAATTGAAGTGATAAAAGTCATTTTGAATAAGTTGCAGTATATTCTTATAATATAAAAGGATTTTATCAGTCGGTCATTTTTAATTATTATAAAACATGAAGATATCGATTGCTCCGAGTCGAAGAGGAGTGATCGATTTCTTCATGTTTTATAACAACTTTTTTAAAATTGTTTAATTTCAAAAAGGTTTGAATTTGAATCTTTTAAAGAATTTTAATTCTTATGGAAAAATTATAATGACTAATTAATTTAATTTTGTAAAATACAAATTTAGTTTTAACAACCTGGAAAAATTTCGCTTTTAACCTGGAAAACCTGGAAAAGTCAGGGAATTTGAAATGAGCATTAGAATTAGCATCAGCAGCCTGAAATTTTGAAGTCGAAGGATGGAAGAAAAAGAGATAAGAGACTAGATTTTTGTATTTAATCTTTTATTGATTTGATAAAAGAAGAAATAATATGATTTATAAAACATAAAATTGTAAACATTAACATTTCACTTTCTCTCTTTTTGCATACATACATTTTTTAATCTTGAAGAGTTTAGGTTTTGTAAAATAATACTGCAGTAGCATATCGTCGTTAAATATAAATTCTTTTTTTTTATGCTGATTAAAATTTTTCAACTTTGTGAAAAATATCAGAGCGTATTTTTATTTAAATCATTAAATTAAATAATGATTGGACTTATGTAAAAAAAATAGTTTTCATTAGCCTATCGTATATTAGTAGTTGTTCGTTTATGTCATATTTCGTTTTGAAAAAGGAAAATTGGCTTTATTTCTTTACAGAACTTTTGCACTTGTTATTAATATAATAATAATAATCAATATAGTAAAGAAAAAGATATTTTGAAGTAGTAAATGCATTTTTTTGTACAATAAATTTGAATACTAAATCTTTCTAATTTTTTTAAAATCTAAATACGATTAATTCAGTTCAGTTTTGGTATGAGCAAAAAAATGTTCTGATATGTTTGAGGAGTAGAAAATATTCTTCCTTTTATGCTCGAGTGTCAATTATTCGACTGTTGCCATTTTTATTAATAAAGTTGGTCGATTCGTTAAATAGACGAAGATCTAGTTTTAAGACGACATCTCCTCTTTCCACTTCTCGTAATTTGATGCGTTTTTGAATTGGTCCACAGGAATCGTTACTGTCCCTCATAATGTCAACGACACGAACTTCTGCCCGACCCATGAATTCTGTTTGGAATAAAAAAAGTTCAAATTTTAGATTATTGCGTAAGTTTTTAGAAATAATTGAATTTTGAAAAGTTTTCAAATTAAAATCTTTGAAAATCTGAAATTAAATTTTTGTGGCAACCCTGTATTATATAGTTTTGAATAGGAGAGAATTTTGAAAATTATTTTCTTTACCATCCGGACTGTAGTAGCCTTTATCGAAAACTGTGATGCATAAAGTATCCTCGTGAAGGTCCTTGACTTGAAATTGCATTGACGCGTCCCAAAGTGGACAATCGGTACCAGACACAACAACTGTTTGCTCCTCTTGCGATCCCATTGCCACTTTACAAAATGCGTTGCATTTTCCTATTAAAATCAAGGACAGAAAAAAAAATTTTTTGAAACAAATTAATAAAGAAAAAGATAATTCAAAAAAACTGAATATTCAAATAAACGAAAAATATTTTCTGAAAATTACTGAAAATTGTTGATTTAGAATTTAATTTTACGTTAATTGGCGAAATAAAATTCGTTCGTTTGAATAGTCAGAATTTTTTTGAAAGTAAAAGAAAATAAAAGATTTTTTTTTCCTAAAAGAAAGAAAGAAAAGTTTTGAGAATCTTAACTATATTAGTAGAAAGAAATCTGTGATGACAATTGCAAGCATATTAGTTGCAAATGTTCTCTGTCACTTGCTGTATAATTAAGAAAAAAAAATATTCGAGCAAATAAAATTCTGCAAAGTAAAAAGTAACTTAATAACTAATTTTTATTTTAACAATTACTAATTTTTTTTTTTTTTTGAATGTGAAAAGAAGTAAAAAAAAGAGAATCGAGCAAAACTTCCGCAATAGGTTTACCTTTGTGGGAAATAACAAGGTCTTCAGCTTCTACAACAACAAGTCGAAGGAGGCCTTTTACTCGTCGCTTGCGTGCTATAATAATGTGATATTCTTGTTAGTTTAACATGCTGCATGCAAAATATTTCTAAACATTAATTTTATGAGTCCCTCGATGACCTTTTGACTCCATGAAAAGTTCCTGCTTTTTTTTTCAATGCTCGACAGAGAAATTTTCTCAGAACATGCTATATAAATAGGGAGAAAGCAAAGCAACAGAGAAGCACAAAGAAAAAACAATTTGAATTTTCCCTTGAAAGGAAAAAATAATTGGCATTTTTTCGTTTCCTGCTTACCAGAAATTGTTTTTAAGCTGGAACCTTCGAGCACTGTCACGAGAATACGTCCACAAGCTCCAAATTGCGCCTGTTCTATTAGCAAAGACATAAAACATATGCAAACATATAATGTTTTGACAAAAAGCAAAATTTGTTTTTCTTCTTTTTCTTTTAATTAATTGTGGACAAAAAGATTTGTTAATTAAATCAAAAAATTAATTAAATTAGTTATTAGTGACTTTCAAATTTAAAAATAATTAAATTGAAAACTTTTTTTATAAATTATTAAAAATAATGAAAAATTAATTATCAGATTCAAAATTTAAAAAAAATTCTTTTATTGACTAATTAACGAATTATTATTTATCATTTTCGAAAATTTTGATAAAATTCTTTTAAAAATCAATCATTTCCTCAATTTTTATTTAACTCATCAAAAATATTTATTTATTTTCACAAAATTTTAGAAAATAATACGAAAGAATTCAATTCTTTTTAAAAAAATTTGATAAAATTCTTCAAAATAATTTAATTTATTTCTCAAATATTTTGATTAAATTCTTTTTAAAAAATCAATCATTTTCTCAATATTTATTAAATTCATCAAAAGAATTTACTTATTTTCACAAATTTCAAGAAAATAATTCGAAAAAATTCAATTCTTTTCAAACATTTTGATTAAATTCTTTTAAAAAATTCAATTATTTTCTCAATTTTAATTAAATTCATCGAAAGAATTCATTTATTTACTAAAATTTCAAGATAATTATTCGAAAGAATTCAATTATTTTTAAACCATTTCATAAAATTCTTCGAAATAATTCAATTATTTTCAAAAATACCTATTGATTAAATTCTTTAGAAAATTCAATTATTTTCTCAATACAATTTTAATTAAATTCATCGAAAGAATTTAATTATTTTCAAAAAAATTTGATAAAATTCTTCGAAATAATTGATATTGTTAAAATTTTTTGAGTAAATTCTTTTAAAAGAATTCAAATATTTTCTCAATACAATTTTAATGGAATTAATTTTTTTTTAATTTTATTAGAATTCCTCGAAATTTCTTAATTTTTTCTTGCAAAAATAGTATCAAAATTTATTCTCTTAATCTGAATTAGTAAATTAATCTTATTTTGCATTAATTAAAATTAGGTTTTCTACAATAATATTTATAACTTAACTATTTTTATATTTTATATGATAAATTAAATTTACAAATTAACTTATGATGTTTATTTCAAAACAATTTCGTTTAATTATTTTTTGTTATTATTTAATCTTCAAAAGACTTAATAAAATTTTATTTAAATTTAAAATTCAAAGCATTTAAATAGAAAAATTATCAAAAAAAAAAAAATTATGAAACAAAAAAGCAAACTAGATTGATTATGAATCGAAAAATTTCAATACGGAAAAAATTCGAATTTGATTATTAGAGAGACAACTTGATAACAGTGAATGAAACGAGACGTTACAATGATGAGGCGATATTTTAAAGAAATGTGTCCAAAAGTAAATATTTTACTGTTCATAAATTCTAATTTCTTTCTCTTTCTTTATTTTTTATTGAATTTATTTACTTGTAAATTTTTATTCTCAAGTAAATTTAAAAATTTTAAATTTTTATTTACGGAGAGTAAATTGGTTTTTTTGAAATAATTTTTCTGATTTTAATTATTTTTCGTTAAATTTTTGATTTTAATGATTTTGGATTAAAGAATTTTTTTGACGTTAATTATTTTGGATTTGAATTAAAAAATAAATTTTATTTGTTTTTGGACACTATTTTACGAATAAGAATTAAAAAAAAGAAAGACTAAAGAAATAAGTAAATGAGAAAAATGACGTGGAATGTGAATTATCAAATGCCACTTACTTGAACGCTGACGTTGCAATCGAGTTCTTTCATTTTCAGCGAATTGCTTCTTAGCTTCCGCAATTCTTCTTGTCCACAATGTACATTCACTTGTGGATGGTGCCTGAAGAATAATTAATTTTTTCGCATCTCTTAGGCGCAATGTCCTCGAGGAATGTTCCGTTGAATCGTTACCATTCCCACTGCTACTAGTTTCCGATTCTCCAGCAAGAAACAGTTCATTCAGAAATATTGGCTAAAATCAGAGGAATATCATTAACATTATCTTTTTTTTTATTTTTCTAAATACAAAATAATTTAAATTTTTTTCCTAAATTCTATTTTCGAATATTAGTTAAAAATTTACAGGAGAAATTAAATTCTTACTTTTCGGTACATTTTAAATTTGTGATGAGAATTTCGTTCGAACGAAAATTGTTGTCCACTTGGTAGCGATTTCGTTGGTTGGGCAAACAATAGAAAGTCATTTGTGAGAAAAGCGACTAATTCCTTTCCACTTTTTGCCTGAAAATATATTATTAATTATTATTATTTATTATTATATTAGTATTTCGGTTAGAGCAAAGAAAAATTTGTTCTAATAAATTACTTGGTTTATTAATTATTATTATATGGATTTTTTAATTAAATTACTTTGTGTAATATTCCGAAGTGAATTAATTTTCTAGGCCCTAGGGAATTTGTCAGAGAATTAAAGACAAGTTGCTCTTCTAATCCATCGCAAGCAACATGCGTTTGTAGCCATTCGAGTCTGTCACTGTTTTCTTTTTCTCGAACTCCCTCGTTCACCTGAAATAAATTATTGAAATTGAATTAAGAAAAAAATTTTCTTCTCTATAAAATTTAAATATGTAAAGAAAATAAAGAACAAATGTGGTTTATCAAAAAAAAAAAAAAAAAAAATACCTGAATGCAAAATTCGTCTGCTTTTGATAAAGCTTCCGTTAAATATTGCCTGTCCGGATGATGAGAAGGGGTGTTTTCCAAAATCTGAAATTTAAAAAAAGAAATTAATAACAATAATATAATAATTAAGGAAATTAGTAAATTAAATTTTAGTTTAATTTTAAATTGTGCTGTAAAATTATGAAAATTACTTTTCCAATTATAAGCGGATATTTCGTTATCCTTTGCATTGGTTTAATGAGAAAAGAACTCAATGGCATTCCTTTTGTTCTCGAATCCTGTTGACATCTTTGAGCAACTTCCACAAAATCTGGCGAATTTTCCGTTAATTTTTGTAGATAAACCGCAGCTGATATTTGACAACTGCAAAATCTCACATAAGCCGACATTCTTGGAATCTGGAAAAATAATTATCAATTTTAATTCATATTTTTTTTGCCTCAAAAAATAACTTATGTGTCGAATATAATAATTTGTTTTTTAAAGAAATAAAAAATACAACGGCATTTAAGAAGATTAATTTCTGACAAATTAAATTTAACTCGAAGGTCATTAAAAAAATAACTATTAATTATATTTAGTACATTTATTTTAATCTATGTTGATAAATATTTAGTCTCTATTATTAATTTTGTTGATATTTTTGGTATTCTTATTCTACAGATAAATATTTAATTTATAAAGAAATTTTTAATTACTTTATACTTTTATTTAATTACTTTTTAATTTTTTAATTAATCCAATAATTAATAAAATAATTAATAAATTAAAATATAAAATTTTTGTAAAAATAAAAAAATATTAGCGAACAAAAACTTACATTTTCACACAGAATGTCACCAATCATTCTTACAATTCCTCCATCACTATTATCACGTCTTATCCTCAGAGTTCTGTCAAAAAAAGAATTTTTTAATTATTAATAATTTAAGTAATTATTATATTAATTATTATATTATAACTAAAACATATTTTATTTATATTACATTAATAATAATATTAACATTAAGAAAATAATAAAAAATAATTTTTTTTATTGATTGCTGACTTCTTCCACTTTTGATAATAATAAATAAAATAAAATCGAAAAAATAAAATCAAAAAATGAAATGAAAAAATTGAGATAAAAAATACAGTTAATTAAAAAAAGGGAAATTAATTACCTCAGGAAATTATCGTTGCAAGCAATAATATCTCTCCAATTGACAAAAATTCTATCGACTTCGTCTACGGACAACACTAAACTTTCCAGCAATGGTTTCTCAAAAACCTGAAATAGAAAATTGAATTCGTTAAATTCGAGAAACAATAATATTGAAAGTAGATTAATTTTCTTTTTTTAAAAATTCAATTCTTTTTTAAAATTTAATTTTTAATTTAAAAATTCAATTCTTTTTTTTTTAATTTAATTTTTAATTTAAAAATTTAATTCTTTTTTAAAATTTAATTTTTAATTTAAAAATGAAATTCTTTTTTAAAATTTAATTTTTAATTTAAAAATGAAAAAAATAATACCTCGTGAACGAGTCTCATGTCTTCGATGTAAGCCTGCTCGGTTGCAATTAGTTCCTTAATATATTCCTGACGTTTTCTTTCCGTTGGTTCGAGTTGTGTCATCATAACTTCATTAATCATCTCACTGGCTGCACAAAAACGCACAAAAAAAGTAAAATGTTACCAAATTTTTTCTTCACGCGTATTAGTATTCAATTACACTAAAATTAGTACAAACCTGATAAAAATTGCATTTTATCATTTATCAAAAAAAAAAAAAATTTCTTCAAAGCCGAATTCATTTTTTTAAACAAAAAAATTTAAAAAGAAAAAGGAAAATTAACATAAAAGCTAAAAATTTTAGTTTCAAAGAAAATAGAAAATTTTACTAAAAACGGTTTTTAATTAAATAGAATAAAATTAGAATTATTTGGTTATTTTTAAATATTAATAATAAAAATATTAATCTAAATAAATATCAATGAAAACAAATATTAATAATAAAAATATTAATCAAAATAAATATTAATAATAAAAATATTAATAAAAATAAATATTAAATTTGAAAATTGTAGAAAAAAACCTATTTATTAAAAGAATGCAGGGGAAATAAAATAATTGCAGTCTTAGAAATTTTTCAATTTACCTTAAAAATCGTAATTATTAAGAATTTTTTTTTCAATTTTTTTACCTATAAAATGAAAATATTTATTAAGTCGTGCGCTTGTAAGTTTGTTTTTTATGTATAAAAGGAACGTAAAAATATCTATTTTTCTCTTCGCTAACACCAAGATTGAAAAAAACATTTATATGTGTATAAATATTTATAAAAAAGCAAAAATTATTGCCAAACACTGTCCCAAAACCATAAATAAATGAAAAAGAAAAACCAAAATGCAAACCAAAAATGCATTTTTAAAATGCCTTCACAAATACCATTTTTCCCCAATAAATTTCTAATATTGGTGATTAATTTTTTATTATGAAATTAAATTTAAACCGATTTAAACGATAATTTTAATTTTTCTCTTAATTTTTGTAATAGTTTTAATTATTAAATTTCGTATATTACAAGTTTTTTTGAGAAAATAATAATAATAATAATAATAATAATAATAAAGGCTCCTCTAGCTGGACTTTTCTGTTTTTCAGTGTAAATTAAAATCAAAACAGAAAAAATTTAATAGTTGAAATAATAATTTATTATTTATTTATTATTTTTTTAAAGTAAAAATAAATTAATTTTTAAGGAAAATCGAAATGAAAATTTTTATTCAAATTGGAATTTTAATTGAAATTAAAGTAAAAAAATTAGCTTTTTATTATTATGTAAATAAATAAGGAAATAAATAAGCAAATAAACAAATGAGTAAAAAAAACAAGTAAATAAATAAAGAAGTTAAAATGTAAGTAAATAATTAAATAAGTTAAAAATAAATAAATAAATGAGTAAAATAATAAGTAAATAAATAAATAAGTTAAAAATAAATAAATGAGTAAAATAATAAGTAAAAATAAATGAGTTAAAAATAGTAAATAAATGAGTAAAATAATAAGTAAAAATAAATAAGTTGAAAAATAAGTAAATAAATAAGTTCAAAAAATAAGTAAATAAATTAAAAAATTAAAAATTAAGTAAATAAATTTTTAAAAAAAGAAAAAATGTAAATAAATAAGAAGTAAAAAAATAAATAATTTAATATTAGTGAATTTTCAATAAAATTAATTATGTTAATTAAGAAAAAAGTCCAAACTGTATGAGATCCTATTGTAAAATATTATTCTGACGAAAAATTTACGTCAATAAAATCCACAAAATTTATAAACAACAACCGAAGAAAAAATTATTTTTCACGCGAAAAATTGTAAAATATTTCTATTTGGACATTTTTTTGCAAAGTTGTTTAGACAAAATCAAAATTAGAATTTGTAAAAAAAAATTTCAAGTGAAAATAAATAATAGAAAAGATGAGAAAAATATTTTTTTCTTCTAAATCGAATGATCGATTGATTGAAACATTGTGAATTAAAAATTAAAAAATTGTTTTATCATAAATCCAATGAGATTTCGTCGAGAAAATCAAAATTGAAATTCGTATGCAAAAAAAAAATTAGGTGAAAAACGAAAAAAATTAATTATTTACAACAGACAGATACTTTATTTCAATCGTTGCGTGTGTTAACACGTTGTATGGTGTAAGAATGAGTGTTTATGGGGGGGGGAGGGCAGAAAGTATTTTTTTTTTTTGTTTTTTGGTAGACAAGAGGAAAGAAATGCGAAGAAATTTTTAATAGGTTTTTTTTCTATATACGTATTAACCTGTTTCAAAATTTCTTTCACATCTTAACAAGAATTTTTTTTTCGTTTAGATAATTATAGATTTGTATCTGTTTATTATTTTCATTTTTTAAATAGGAATCTTACTGAGATCCTGACCGATGATACAACGACAAACGAACGATATGGATAAGTCTTGCAATCATAACAATTTGAGGGATAGTGCTACACAAGTACTTCCTTTTTTTTCTTGTTTAATATTAATTTTTTTATATATATATGTATATATAATAATAATAACGAGTTTGCAAAACTTGCAGTACATTTGTTTTTTTGTTTGTCTTTTTTTTTCTTTAAATATAATTATTTATATATATGTATATATATAACGCATTATATCAGGATCCTATTAGAAAATCTAACTCGACGCATTCGCATTTTTGATGAAGCTAAAAATTGCAAAAAAAAATAATTTTATTTAATTGTGTTAAATAATTTTTTAATTTAATTAATTTGTTTTTTTTTTGTTTCGATTCGAATTTTAGACACGAAATAATTTTTGGATTTGCAAATTTTTAGATTCATCAAAATTTTCTGACACACGAGACATTTGGAGAGAAAAATTTCTCTTTTCGAAAATTGCTATTCAGCTCATCGTAAATTGAAAGAAATTTTTTTTTTAATTAATATTGCATTATATTAGGATTGAAATTTAATATTAAATATTAAATATTAATTATTAAATATTGAATATTTAATATAAAATTAAATATTTAACGAAGAAAAATGAATAGAAATTATTTTTTGGTTCATCTCCCAAGTTATGGCACAGAGGCAATAACGTAATTATAAATATTTTATTGCACACGTCCTGGACCGAAATTAAAAATAATATTGACGACGATACAATATTGTGCGCTAATAAATTACAAAATACAATAATATTACTTTCAGGACGTAAAAATCTTTTCTTCCACTTTTTTTTTTTTTTACTTTCTATAAACAAAACAATGGAAATTTTTCGAATAATTATTATTCAAAATAAAATATTTGTTTAAAAATAAAACAATATTATTTACAAATAGAAAGAAAAAAAATCTCATTGAAATATTCTGGAGATTGAGCAATTATTTAAAAAAATTCTATACTTTTTTTTTCTTCTCTGATCAACAGAGCTAGAAATAAAATCAACAAATTGCTATGGTACCAGCAAGAGAAATTATTACTTAGGGGAGAAAAATATTTCTAAAATTAAAATAGACGAAAATTGAAATTTAATATTTAATTATTAATTAACTCTTCGTGAATTATTAATTAATTATTAATTAACTCTTCATGAATTATTAATTAATTTTTAATTATTTATTAATATTAAGTTTAATTAATATTAAGACAAAAATTATATTTAAAAATTTCAAGATTATTGTACTCGAAATTAAATACCTTTTCGTTAATGATAAAAAAATGAAAAAAAATTTATCCAAAAAAATTAGACAAAAAATAAATTCCTATAAATTAATATTAGTGGATTTTTTTTCTTTAGTGGAAGAGGGACTTTGCTCACAATATTTCTGATTAGGCTCCGTATATAATATTGGTTCCGAATGGAACGCGAAGAAGGAGCAATTTTATCCAAAAAAGGATTTTTATCGACCGTTATTTTTCTAATATTTTAAAACGTATTATTTTTTTATTATTTTAAAACGTACAACAAAGAAATAGGAACCGAGAAAATTTCTTAGATAAATAGGAGCTGTTTTTCTTTTCGAAACCAATAAAGTTTCATAATAATTAACTCCTAGAGAACACATTGGAATTACATTATAGAATTATATTAATATTATGAATACAATTAATAAATACGTAGACTAAGTTTTTTTTGGACAACAATAATAATAAGAGAAACTAATTTTTTTCAACGTATATTACAATGTTTTTTCTTTTTTTCTTTTTTAATCTTAAATAGATTCCAATAAATGAGATTCTTGAATTATTTTTTTTCTAATATAATCTTTGTAATCTTAAGGCTAAGTTCGAAGGCTCGGACGCATCGATGTTAAAGTGACCAAAAAAGTTTTTAAATAACGAGATAAAGAACAAATTTTTTTTTCCTATCGTATTGACTTAGTGTTTTTTTTTATTTTTTTTTCATTTAGGGAAAGGTCGACGGCTCCTTCTCCTCTTCCTGAATTTCTGGAATCCTAGGCCGACTTCTTGACAGTCAAAAAAGCGTCAAATTTTTTTTTTTTTTTTTGAAATAAAGACTAAACTAAATTTGTAATTTTAATTCTGATTTTTGTTTTTTTAAAGTACATGTTTATGAAATTTTGCCTCTCATTTTCTCTCATTTTCAGAATTCTAATTTCTAGAGTAGTAGAATTTTTTGAGTAATAGAATATTAGAAGAATAGAGATTGGAATTTTTCTTTTCTCAACAAAAATAATAGTAGGTGATTTTCTTCTTTTTTTTCTATTTTTTGTGTAAATCGAACTTACGAGATTTGAACTACTGCAAAAAAGAGCAAATGAAAATTGTAAAAATTTCTAGAGAAGGAAATATTTTTCCTTTCGAGAATTTTTATTTGGAACTATTTTTTATCTTTTATCTCTTTTCTATTTCTTTTTTTTTATTTCTCTTTTTATTTTTATTTCATTCTATCTCTTTTTTAATCCTTTTTTATTTTCTATCCGAATTTTGAATAAAAAAGCAAATTTTTCCATAAAAATGTATTTTAAATTTTCTACGTAACAATTGTCAGGGAAATAAATCTAAAATTTGTTTTTTGAACTTGGTTAAATTTCTAATTGGTTGGAAAATTTATTAAAATTTGAAGCATCGGCTGAAAAGTAATTTTTTTTTCTTGAAATATAC